CAGTATAAGCTATGCATGTTTTGAAATATAAACTTAATCTAAACAACGTTGATATTAAAATAAATATATAACAACAAATTCGTTACACATTTAACACATCACAGTTGACTTCAACAATTAATAATGCCCTATTTGATAATTTATGACACTCTTATCCTTAAGAAATCAGTGAATATTTCACTGACATGAGTAAAATCACCTCAAAAAAGGAGTATTAAAAATCACTACAACGTAGTTTAGTTAGAAGGTATTTATGAAAGTGACCCAAAATATCAATAATAAGTTAAACGTTTGTTTTAACAGAGTTAGAATCCTAAACAATTATAAAATAAAAAAGTTTTTTCTATCTTTTTAGGGTAATACGTAAATTGTAGTAGTATGTGTGTGATTAGTGTAAAACTTGGATGAATAAAGATAAAAAGTGTATTTGTGCAGTAAAAGTATACAATTAATAACATGTCAAAAATAAGGAAGCAAATAATATATATGTATCTGAAAACTTCTTCAATTTGTCTCATGTACAATATTTCAGAAAAAAGATACGGTTTTTATAACGTATATTTTATTTAGAATCAAAATAAGGATTTTTAAAACCAATTATGCACAAAGATGGCATTTTTTATAAGTTTAAAATAATATTCTATTATAGGTTTTTGGAGCACACGTCAGATGGCCAAGGGAAAGGAAAAGGAAGACAGGGAATGGTACGTCAGGACAACTCTAAGGGAGCTACTAATCTACATTATTTTTATCGTCATTTTTTGCATTTGTAAGTTTTCTTTCCCATTTTCTATAAATTATTTTTATACTTTTTAATATCACATTCATTATAATGAAACTATGAGATAGATGTTTTCAGTTCGGCTAATTGTGAAATGCAAAGGTGCCTGTTTTATTTTTTATTATTTTACTTTGATTCAGTTAAGATTTAATTTAAATTATGTTAACAGATTCTAATTAAGCAATAAGCTAGATATCGCTAAAATCTGGGGTTCGATTCCTTACGCTGATCAAAGCACAAGTAGTCCATTGTGTAATTTTACCCTAAAACAAACTTCTTGCTTTTCAACGTAACGGTTTGTTCATTATCAATACATCATTGGATCACTGGTTTCTTCTTACATAAATGAGCTTACCTTTATCATTTTACAATTTTGACGCTTTTTTAAAGATCGTGATAAAAAAGAAAACCATAGAGAGCTAACTTCACAGCACTACTGAGAAGTAGCTTCACAATACTGCTGAGTGGTATCTTTATAATACTACTGAGAGGTAGCTTCACAATACTGCTGAGTGGTATCTTTATAACACTACTGAGAGGTAGCTTCACAATACTGCTGAGTGGTATCTTATAACACTACTGAGAGGTAGCTTCACAATGCTGTTGAGTGGTATCTTTATAGCACTGCTGAATTGTTGTTTTACAAAGCTACTGAGGGACAGTTTTACAGCACGGCTGAGAGATGGCACTACAGTACTGCTCTTGTGTTTCAGAACAAAAACAATTACAGGCGAGATATATAATAATGACGTTGTCTCAAAGTATTCCATGGGAACGTAATAGAAAATCTACAAGACAAAAGCCACCTCTTATATTATAAAATTATTCTTGAAAAAATATTTGCAATTTAAAAAAATATCCTTTTTAAATATGGTAAAACCAAATATGGTGAACATACAAAATCACATGTTTGTAGGAATCTATGTAAACATATCAAAGATGAAAATTAAAACTAAAATACATATAAACACCTAATATGGTAAAAAATGTCAACTCATTTTTCGGCATATGAAAGTTCGGTAGAGGGTAAAAAAATACAGTTTAAACATATGGCGAGATCTAGTTTACAAGTATCATTTATAGTGTCAGAACTAGAATTAAAGACGAGTAAATCTGGATCAAGATCAATAGAAAAGTTGAAGTTCCTGAATTCTCTAAGATTAACGTTTTGGATATGTTCGTGTCGACGATCTTTTGTAACTTAGTCGTACGACGCGAAAAGAAATTCGAGGAAAATTCTGATGGGAGGTAAGCTGTTATAGAACGTATTTGTATTAGTAGAGTTGAATTTATCAGATAGGAGCCGTTTATGACGATGTTAAAGTCTCAGTTCTTTGTCTAGTAGACGTTTATGAAAAGTACAGGTTTTCTATAGACTGCGATCCGTAAGCTTGAACAGTAAGAGCTTGTGGTATTTACAGTTATCATTAAGATATCGAGCGGACGGTAGCACTGCCTATGTAGGGATGTCTCCGATTGTTAATCGAAATGGTATTTCAGATATCTACTCAATAAGTTATCAGAACTTTATAATACTATACAGTGTTTCCTTTTATAACAATATCTATGTAATGACTGAGTCACAAGTTCTAGGAATGTCTGAATATCATAGCAAAAAAGTTTGAATTTCTTGTTCTTCTTTCTTTTGCTTCTTTTTTATTACATGATAACTCAAAAACCAAAAGAATGATGTCAACCAATTTCACTGAGGTGACATAGTTTTAAACGGAGTACCTGCTTTTCTAAGTATTATTAACAACTAGTACTAATTAAAAAAATCATAATTCTAGTGTAAACAATTTTATCATTAACCTTTGAAGTTAGCTTTCTTACAGAAATTTGATGTTCCTTTAAAAAGCTTAAGTACATGGTGAAACAGGAATTACCAGTCAATAATAGCTAAACAATAAATATTACAGTTGGAACTTCACTGTATTTAGAACTTATAAATACAACCTTTCTATGTCTACTCAAACATTGCATTAAAAAACAACAACAAACAAACAAGTAAAGAAAAACTTTTCAAAAAAGGAAGTAAATGTAGGGATGGCTAATATCAATCCTTCAAAAACAGTGCAAACATGATAGTGGGGATGACATCTGCATTAACTCTACATAATAACACAGACAATAATTAACATATAGCAATATATATATATAACTATTCAATCATAATTGAGTTTAATTTATCTTATTTTTGTCTGTTAACATTCTACTATACTGTGTGCCTGTGATATTATATAATGATGATGCAAATGCCATCCATACTATGTTATTTGCATTATTTTGGAAGGATTGATATTAGCCATCCCTACATTAATTTCCTTTTTTAATTTTTTTTACTTCTATATATATACTAGCCAACTTTCTTGATCTTGAAATCTTCCTTTTCACAGATTCGAAATGATCGTACAGCTCTATATATCCAAACCGCTAAATCAATGTCGACAGTAATATCATGAAGTGAGAATATTTAGTTTAAAGAGGAACAATAGCAGCACAAAAATGTATAATTCCACCTTCAGCATTTTATTTTCTACAGGATTAGCAATACAATAAGTCAATGTAGTAAAGGAAGTTTACTGATGTTCTTAACCTTACCCTTCAACGGGAAGAGAAAGTTCTACAGAAGGTTAAGTACGTTGTATTAAAAGGAGTTTGGAACCTCACCACGTTGTTACAGTTCGTGCCGCCTCGTGTCCAGTCGTAATTCATTTCAAACATCCATCTTATACAAGCGTAAATCTTATATAAGTTGAATTCCTATCACTATTGTAGTTGTTGCGTCCTAGTCGGCCTTATTAGGTCTGTATTGGTAATGGATATGGTGGACAGAATGTGGTTGAAAAACTATTATACACCCTTCTTTTTCTTGAGAAAAACCTAAGGATTTAAATAAGGAATGCAGTGTTCAAATGTAGTAGGCCTAATAAAATTGTTTTATGACAAGTATAATTAATTATTCTAAGTTACTTCATATATATTTCTTAACTGTGTATGCCTTTTGTTGATTTGTTTGTTTTAATGTAAAGCTGTACAATGGGCTATGTACACTTTGTCTGTTGCGGGGAACGAACTCCGGATTTTAGCATTGTAAATATGTAAACTCACCGCTGACCCATCAGGGGACGTTTATCTTTTATAAAATTGTAATATGACGGTATAACGTACTTTATTTGCTAGATGGGTTTGTGTCTTGCGAATCTAAGGTGAAAATAGACTTAATAATATTTTAGTGGTATAAGTTTCTTCCACTTTTATACATTGTCTGTCTGATATGTCAAAACTTCTACGTATGGCACCACATGTATGATTTTTATTTTACTTCAGTAGTACAACAGAACTTAATTTCTTTGGTAAATTTTGGCTTGCTTGTTGAATTTTACGCAAAGCTATTCGAGAGCTACCTGCGCTAGTCGTTCGTTATTTTGAAGCGATAAACTAGAAGAAAGACAACTAGACAGCATTACATACCACCAACTCATGGGCTACTCTTTACCAAAAATAGTGGGATTGACCAACACATTAGAAAACCTCAGTGGCTGAAAAGATTTGATGAAGGATTTCGATTGCAGAACCCGCATATTGCGAGTACAGTACCTTAACCACCAGACCATGTTACGCTCTTTGAAAATGAAATTGCAGTTTTTTCATGTGATTTATGTCAGGTGAATTATACAATATGATTTAGCACTGATATATTTTTGTTGGCATAAAATATTTTGATAAGCTCTGTGAAATCTTATGGCAGAGTTACCACATGTTGAATACCTAAAAAGTCACTAAAACAGAAAACTGCCTTATGTGAAATCTTATGGCAGATTTACCATATGTTGAATACCTAAAAAAAGTCACTAAAACAGAAAACTGCCTTAGCTTCTGACTTGTTATTTTAATTTTGATGTATTAACGTTATCATTAGTTTGTTTGTCTGGTTGTTAAGCATAACTATTCTAAATGGGCTAGGTGGGCTGTACCAACCGCAGGTATCAAACTCCGAATCTGTTGTCATTAGCCCTCAACCTTACCGCTGAACCAAAAGGTGGTATTTTCATCGTTGTCATGTACTTTTTTACGAAACTCTTTGATAACGTGAGGCAAATAATTTTCAACCATTCTATGCGCAACTAATATCAAAAATATAAATACATCAGGTGGAACATCCTAATTTATATGAAACCACAAAACCAATATTCTGAATTCCTAAGAACTAAAGCTCTCAGCAATATCTGCTTTTGTACTTTTACTTATGACAAAGTTACAAAGACTACCTGCCGCCGTCCCTAATTTTGAACTACTGACTTTAGGGAAGGCAGCAGTCAACTATCCATCATCCACACTAAAGGATTGACTATCACTCTTATATCTCAACCATAAATTAAAGAACGGGGAGTAGTTTGTGATATTGCACGGATAGGAACCTGACTCGCCTCTTTCGAAGCTTAGAGCTCTACCACAGGACCAACTCGCTTCCCAATATTTGCTCTTATAAGTAGTTTGTGATATTGCACGGATAAGAACCTGACTCGCCTCTTTCGAAGTTTAGAGCTCTACCACAGGACCAACTCGCTTCCCAATATTTGCTCTTATAAGTTCTGTTGTGTGAACAATGTCAGAGCAAAATGAAATAGAGTATCATAGGTATGGATACTACTCTTATGCTAACAGACATATTTTAACCGTTCTTTAATAAGTAATAGTGTTTTAGGTTGTTATGGTGTGAACGCCTTTTCCAAACTGGCGAAGAATGATTACAGTTAATTAAACCTGTCATAAGACATTAGAATTAGACATATTATATCTTTTAACACTGCTTTCTTTATCTAGTCCTTTAGAGATTTTCAAGAATTTGAAGAATGTATAATAATAGTATTTCAACCTTATAATGTTCGCAATATTCATCGGCGAGGACGCTTTTCGCTCAAACTATGGCTCATCAGGCCGACTGGGACACAACAAACGAAATAAAGAATGTAATATTTTAAAAA